GAAATAGGGTGAATACATCTCATTACACTGATTTACTGGTAGTCTCGAAACCCTACTCTTACACCAATATCATTAAGGTAGTCTTCGAAACCCAGCTTTTCTTATTATCTTTGAAACAATTCCATAGTTGCCATCTTTGATGAAACGTCTGGAAATGTACCAAGTCCATGATCCGACGCTGCAAATTGTCATGAATATTACTGCAAAGAACTGCGAACAAAATCAATTCATCTAGGTCACACTGACAATAGGACAATGTTGAAAAAAGGATATCATACTACTTCTAGCACATTTTCAACGCAAAAGGAAGAGGGAGATCCTAACGTTTCGACTAAACCATAGTACAGCTGACCAAGAGAAATCGGTTGTCGTCTTCTGGTGCGATCCAATTTCAAATTCCTTCATCACATACACTCTCTCAAAATACAAGGAAGTTCAACAACTGTGCCTAAATAATCTTCTCATAACATAACTTGCCTTTGGCAGCTTCGCTTTCTTAACTTTGACCACTAACTCCTGCGAGTCTGGCCCCTTGTCGATGCCAGTGAATCCGGTCGTCTTACTGGCATCAGGGTCCATAGTGTCCAGAGTTTCTATGCCCAGATTCGTGCTAGCATCCTGCTCTGTGCTCTTTGCGGCTGTACTTGGTGCCAGACGTCCAGCCTTTGCCTTACCAGTCGGCAAGGCTCCAAGTAGTGCCGTCAGTTGATTCTGCTCACACTGACGTACCATATCAAAGGCTAGGCGAGCATTTGGCTCTGAGATACCACAGCACAGAGCAAACGCTTGTACTGCTTCGGGTTTGTCTGAAAGTGCATCCGTCACCACCTCTTGAATGTCCTGTAATGGTATCTCTTTGGCTGCTAGAAAGGCCTCAACTTGGCGGCGGCAACTAGAAAAAAGCGAAGCAAATTCTCGAAATCTTGTCTGGCCTGAGTTGGGCAGGACGGATTGAAAACGACGGCGAATACGCTCACTTCCACGACCCTCAGCCAAGGCGTACAGTTCTTCGACCAACTCGGTCTTAGAGTCACAATGACCGATTAAGTATTTGAAGAGCCAGCTGGGCGACTGGATAGCGTTCAGCAAGCCAATGCGGCGATCTCGACCGTCAACTACCAAGTCCAGCCTGGACAATTCCTCGGGTTGCCGTTCCAGACAGCCTAAAATGCAAGAGGACATTTCTTTGTCACTGCCAAGCTCAGATTTCAGCTTTTCAATCATTTCGTGCATCTCGTCGCTAGCCAGAATGCGCTCGCGCTCCTCACGCATCCTTCGTTCGGCTAGTTCGTTGCCATCCAGTCGTGACAGTCTGTCAAGTTCATCCTCTTCTCGACGTTTAGTACCGGCTATCGGCATCCGAGGCATATGACGGACAACAACGCGCTCCTCAGAACTGGGAGAAGACATAGCGTGATCGTCGACCGGCTCATGTTCTTCACGATCGCTGATATCCCGTAACGCTTTCCGAGACATCTTGCTCTTAACTGTTCTCGGGATAGCACAGGAATGGAAATAGTGAAGAAATTAGGAAAAGAAAAGCAAAATAGTAAATCTGCTCTACACTAATTCACTATGCTTTCTAGCCATTTATGAGGGTACTAATCTGAAATAATGCAAGTGGGTGCGAGCTTGAGATGAATTTATACTGAATATTTTTTCGACAATTAATAAAATACCTAAAGCAAATGCATTAGCAACAGACGGATACTCCAGTGAAAGTTATTATTATAAGCCACTTTCCACTGCCCAGTCGATAATTATTTTCCTCCAAAAAAAAGTTGCATTCAATTCTTTTAACAATTTATCTAGCCAGAAAATCGCTTTTTACTGAAGTCGGCATGATGACCAACGTTGAGTCAAGTTTAACCAACAACGAATTAAAATAGAGTTTAAAGTATGCCTAGATTTTTTTAAGAATCCCATAGACCAACGCCATCCATGAATATGAGATGTATTCATTCTATTTCGTTTAGGGTGACAAGGGGAATGTCAGTGGATCACTCTATTCTGTTGACCTCATTCATGCTATAAGCTGTAGATTTGTTAACTCGAGGATTCAACGGTCCTTGGAAGACTAGAATAGTGTGAAGATGTATTGAATTCACTTTTCAAGACGTACGTGACAAAATACATCAACCTGATATTTCTTATATAAGTGGGTTTTGTATTAAGTTTATTTGCCCTATTTCGTTTAAGGTGATAAGGGGACTGATAATTGAATTTTTCCCATAATGATATGAGTAGACTTTAAATTTCCATTAAATTTCACATAGCCTTGCTTTTCCTAAAGCTATTCTCATCTAGAATGGACTGAATCTTCGACCTCACCTAGGTCTTATCAACACCCTCAGCGAGATTCGAATCATGGCAATGCAACGTATAATCTTGACATGTCAATTATTAGGCTGTATTACTGCAATTACCCTTGGGTCACATTGCAGATGCGAATTTCAAGAAAGGCCAGACATTTTCCCATATCATATTCTGTGGTGAACTTGTCCATTATGCGAAGTTCTATTTGCTATAGCAATCGACTATGTTACTTATGTTTCGTTTATAAGTAGGTTTTTCGAGCCTACCAGTAGATCATTTTTATATTAAGTGTCAAGATTAAACGCGGCACTGCCATGGTTCGAGTCTCGCTGGGAATTTTGATAAAACTTAGGTAAGGCCTAAGCAGCAGTTCATCCCCGATGAGAATACCTTTTGGGACAGCAAAGCTATACGAATTCCGTGTGAAAAAAATACAATTTTTAGACTCCGTATCACCTTAAACGAAATAGGATGAATACACTTTATATAATTGTCAACCTTATTTTAGAATAAGGACTTGAGTAATCTTATTTCTCTCTATCTTTATATTTTCATATCGAAAAATGGTAGGCAGTCTTATCCAAATTGGCGTAACTTCTCCCCACATATTGAATATATTTAGGGATGACAATGCTCAATTTGGCCAAATGCAAGCTGTAATATCAGATGTTTGGATTTAAAATTTCTTTTTATCTTCAGTCTACTCAAATCCAACTTTCCATCATGAAACCAGAATACTAAAAGACACGCATTTGTGCCATTCTAGAACGCTTTAAATGATACAAAGACCAATAAGTGAAATCCCTACAATGAAATTTCCAGACCTTATGATACAATCGAATCTCAAGTAGAGTTGCTTCCTAAAAGAGTTTTTTGGAATTAAATGTCATCATGGGTATATTCATTTCATTATATGAAATTCAAATGTAAGTCCTCACATCACGTTAACTAGCCTAATTTTAATAAAGTTATAATTTCATATCTGCTGCAAGGTTCGAAAGCTATTCACTCGATAAGGTATGGAAGAAAAATAATTCGACATTAACTTTTTCTAGCCACATAACCTTTGCCATTCTTTGGCATCACCAACAGCATATTCACCAAAATTACCCTTTTCACCTCTGCAATTTAAAACATGTTAGTTGAAGATTTAAAAATATATTTCATGCAAGAAGCTTATTAAAAAGTGATTGCATAATTAAAAAAAAGATTGTCATCAATATGAGAATGTTGGAAAAACTCTGACTTTGGTACAAGGAGAGGAGGAAGTTAAATCATATCATGTGTATTCTACTGTGCAGATTTCTAGAAAAAAATTTTAAGAAATAAAATATTGTCCGAAGTAGCCAAATCTTTCCTGTCTATCCAATGAGTTAACAACAAATTTGGGTCCTAAGGGCCTGAGAATTATCCTTAAAATCATAGGCCTATTTTATGAAGAGATTAATTTTCAATTTAACCTACAGTTGTGCACGAATATGCAAATAATGGCAAAGAAAAGCATGCTGCGCCATGCGTTGCCCTACTTACGCACGTACCCTTCATGTCAATATGAGTTTGAACTGTCTGCTTCGTGATCTGTTTGGCGAACTTGCGCAACTTGGCTGGTGACGAAATGCTTTGTCGGCCGCCATGTCTGAGGCTATCAGGCAGGATATCGTATTCCGCGAACTCGTCCTGTTCAGCTTTTACAGCGTCAGCCTCTTCATCCAAATCATCCTCTTCGTCGATCAGCAACTCCTCATCCAGCAAACCCTCTACCTCGATTGCAACACTAGACAGAAGATCAGAACGCAACTTGTCTGACATTGAAGTCGCCGTTCGGCTGCGCATCATGGCCAATTCTCGCAAGGTCGTGAGTGAAGACAAAGTGAGGAGAGTGCGCTCATCCGACTATGATTATGGCATAACATGAGAGGGTTTGTAAAATGGAAAAGTTTTCCTCGAAGTTATTCATTCACATCTTGCAAAATTTTGATCTGCGAAGCTAATAAACGTGATAAT